TCACTAATATATGTTCTAAAGTTTTATTTATACTGTTTGTCATCCATAAGAAGTCTATTGAAAGAAAATTTAATTTAAACAAAACTCAAAAGTCAGAATAATTAAAAAAATTTTAAATATATATATATATATATATATATAGAATATAGATTAAAATTATTTGAAAGTCTATATATATAAATATATATATATATATATATATATAATGGTTATATATATAGATTTAAAGAAAAATATATATATTTTATTCAACACAAAAACTATACAGTCCATGATTAAATTTTGTTTTGGAAAGGTGTTTTAATCATTATAGTTACTGTTCTATTGTTTCCCGGGGGAGAATGGCCTTACACAATATTTTTATTTTAATAAAACAAAAAAATATATAATTTCAAATTAAATTTGATTTAAATGTCGCCAATTTGATTAAAGTACATATTCAAAAATTTAAACTCCTGATGTATTTTTTCCTTTTGTTTGTACATAAATTCAAACTTCATTATACAAAATGTACAACACATTATCTTTGTGCAGAAAAGATGGTTCAACATAAAGAAAATTCATTAATTATGTTTATAATTTTGCACATATATGGTTCATGGACACTTGATTTTTGTCAACTGAACTCAATGTTCATTCAGAAAAAAAAAAGACCACTATGGTTTTCATAACTTGAAGCAGAAATTTTGAAATGGCATGCTGTACTGTGCATTATTTAGTGCAGAAGCTGCAATAACATCTAACATCTTCAAAGTGTTTGGATATCATTTCAGGACAGTATGATAAATTTTATAAGGAAAATCGTTAAGGTGTTTGAATGAAAGTATGGCTGAACAGAATTATAAATTTCTATCACAGAAATTTTTATCTTAATTTACTGATTAATTATTTACTTTTTTATTAGTACTTATTGGGTCCAGGAGGTGGCTGCTGAAAGACCCTATATCTTGGCAAGAGAACTCTGCACTATGTCAAACAAGCAGGAGAACCCAGTCATGGCTGTCAGGCAATTTCTGCAATCACATCACCTCTTACATATGGCCACCTAACTTCCCAGACTGCAACCCTCTTGATTGTTGTCTGGGGTTCAATTATGAGAGACCCACAAAACTTCTTGTAACACCAAAGATGAACTGAAGGTAAGGATTATGACAACATTCATCAACTTAAACAAGGAGACTGTCCAGAAGTGATGCAGGAGATTCGTAGTTGTTTGGAGGCTGTGGTTGAAGCCAATGGAGATATTTTAATTTTTTTTTTTTTAAACATATATATTTCACTGACCAACAAATTTTGACAATGGCTGCCACTGATGTTTTGCCATTATGTGGGAAGCATATTTCTGGGAGGTATGTATAGGAGGTATTTCTGCTGCACCCTGTATAGTATTCAATGTAACTAGAGGTAGCTTCTATGTGAAGTCGAAGTATCTATTAGGCTATGTTTAAATGTTATGAATCACTAGTTTTTAGCTGAATTTGTAAATAACTGTAAATGGGATGGAGTTGTTCATTGTCAAATATGGTAATTTGCAATTAACATATAGACAAATTTTCATTAACTTTTTTATACTTTAAAAATTTATGGCATGTGTTCTGGATTAGAATCAGTTTTATTCTTTAATTTATAAAATATGGCTGCTTACTCAGACTCTTGGGAGACAAATTTTTAAATTGTTTTTTGCTTTACAAGTTTATTCATTTTTTTTTTTACTTTCTTCTAAATGTGGAGAATTTATGATTCAGTTTTAAAATGAACATTGTTGATTCTGAATTTGAGTCAGAATCCATCTTATGTTGATGCTTTTAAAAGAAAACATACCAACTTAATATGGAGGAAATAGAAAAAAATATATATATTTCACTGTCTACATGTCTGTCATCTTTGGTTTGTATTTCTTCCTTTTATTAATCTGCACAAATCTGTTTAGATTAAATATTTATTTTGAGAACGGAACAAATGAAAACATCAGTTTGGAGAAGAAATAAAAAGAAAATTTGTCTATAAACAAAATTTGATCAATGTAGCCTTGAAAATATTAAAGTTAAATAAAACTGAAAGTTTACGAAAGTATAAATTATGTCTATATTTCTGAGATGCAAATTATGTACACTATTTACATTATTTGACTATTGTCCTCATCTTTTTTCGCCAAATTTATTACAACGTTTTGGCAAACAAAATCTCCAGCATTCTGTTTTTTGTGTCCTCAAAACATGGATAAATTATGGAATAGATCCAGTGACAGGATCCAAAGAGTGTAAGTTTATTATTCGTTATTTTTAAATTTTCAGAGGGAAAAATTAGCAGGAGATAAATGATAAGTGACATCCATTAAACATGGCACGTGGAACTAGAAACAGTCTATCCCAGTGAGCAAAATAAAGTGTTCAGTTTGATATTCCAACCACCAGAAGAAGGCCAGAGTGCACAAAGGGGGAAAACGTAATAAATATGGTGGCAAATATGAGGAAAATAGTCTGAATAATGTAAATAATGAGTTTAAATTATAATTTGATTCACTGTATATACTCTAGTGTGAGTTTTTTATGATCATTTTTTTTTACGTAAAAAATAGGGGTTGCACTATACACATGTAAATTTTTTGAAAAGGTTAAAATCATGCATCTTTGGTGACCTATTGCACTATACTCAGGTAATTTTTTTATAGATTTTAGGCATGACTTGTTGAAATTCACACACCAAAAAATTGAACATTATTTACATTATTCGGACTATTGTCCCTAGTTTGACATTCCAACCACCTGAAGAAGGCCAGAGCATACAATGGTAAGACGTAATAAATATGGTGACAAAGATATATACAATAAGATAATTTTCTTTGTCATAATTTTTCTTCCATTGAAAAACTTTCAGAAAAAGAAAACAATTATGAAAGATAGAAGGAAAAAATAAGAATGAACAAAATAGGATATATGAAAAGTTAAATCAAGTAGAGGGGGGCAGCTTTTATAGGTGGGAGGGTAATTCTCTCACCAGATCCAAATGTTAAATTGTCTGAGATTTTTAAAAAAAAAAAAAAAAGTTTATTTTAAAACAGGCTTTCATTTCTTGATTTGAAAGATTAGCCCAGAAAAAAAAGAGAAAGGAAAAATTAGTTCATATATTTTAGAAGAAAAGTCTGAGATTAAATTTTATTTTTTTTTTTTTATTTAAAGATTATGTTGAATCAAGTCTGTAAAAGATACTCATTCAATAAGTTTTAGATTTTTGATAAAACTGTTTAAAGAAATGAGATATACATCTACTGCAAGAGCTTTTCAGTTCCTTTTAGAATGGTAATACTAGCTGTTTCCTTATAATGAAAGATTCTGCATTCATTGACTGACTAAAAGTGCAGCTTAGAATTAAAAAAAAGTCCTTGGCCATCGGGCTGATCAAAGTGTAGTATCTGTTCTCATCTAATAATGATAATATTAGCTGCCCCTTTATATGAAACATTCGGCATTCATTGACCGAGCAGCCAATGCTACTTTGAGTTACGCTTATCTTCACTCCCTTGACATCAGAATGGGATCAAAGTGTAGTATCTATTCTCATCTCTAATGGTAATACTAGCCATTTCCTTATAAGGAAAGATTCTGCATTATTGAATTGACTAGCCAGTGCAGCTAGAATTAAAATTTTCCTCTCTCCTCAAAAATTTGGCCTGAGATCAAAGTGTAGTATCTGTTCACCTAATCTCTAATTGGATTAGAAGTTTCTTTATAAGGAAACCATTGATGTTCATTGACTGGCATATTTGACCTTTTATGCCTTTTGAATTTTTTCCATTAAACTTTTTAGTTTAACTTTTCCATCTTTAAAACAAACATTGTCAAAATGATAATTGGAATTATAATAAAACCTAAACACATGATGGTGAATTTATACATTTTTGTTCTTAAGAATTTAAAAAAATATTAAACCTTATTTATTAATTATTGTTTATTTACAAGAATAATTTTATATTTACAACATTCTAAAAACTAATACAGTTCAATATTTACTATTTAATTTATTTATAAAGAAATAAATATGAAAAAAAATCTTTTATTTATAAATTTATAAACATTTATTAAATTATTAGAATATGTGGACCAACTATAAAGAAATTTTTATTTACCATTTTATAAAGCTTGAATTGATTTGCGAAGCATTAGCTGATGTTTTGCCAACCATTCCAATAAATAATATAGTGTTTATTTTGTTATAAATTGACTTTCATATGTTTACAATTCTAATCATTGCTTTTTAAAAGCATAAACATTGCCAAGGAGTGAAGGTAGTTAAAATAATAATGGTGTCAAGGGAAAAACTGTCCTTTTAAAATATACCATTGTTTTGTACCATGAAGGTCCTAGGTTTTGCCCATTGACTTGAGCAGCCAATGCTAATTTTTTTTTGAAATTTTGGAGATCTTTTCTTGAAACAATTTTTCAGGAAAACAATTTTTCAAGTCCAGTAGCTGTTATTGTTCTTTCTAGTATTGATAGGGAGAGCCTTCTTTCTTCTTAACCTTTTTTTTTTGAAGTTGTGGAATTCAACATCAGCATCTTGATTATGTTCTCTTCGAGTTACATGTGATATCCATTTTCATTGTTGCTCCTGTTGACAGTCCTCAAACGATGTGGTTTCTGTTATTTGGTACAGTTTATTTGTGATTCTGTTATGCCAAACTTAAAAGGTTCAAAGAAGAATGGTCCTTGTTTAGACTTACAGGCTTCATTCACTAAAGCCATTTTTAATCATCACTCTGATAAAGACAGTTGTATACAGCTGACAGTTTGGATATAATTCTGATAAAGTTCAATACTATGTGTCATCCATATGAAAGTCTCAATCTGATGAAGCTATTTAAGAACATGACTTGGGTTATTAGGATAATGCCTACCTGGCAAAATTTATTTTCTTATTAATTTTCATATTTTCTGTACTGAATTTGTTGTAATTGATTAATGAAATACAGAAATTGGTAGTCTGGAAGTTTTTTCCATGAGATGAGTAAAGTAAATAAATTCCCTTTATACCAATTCCTCTCTCTCTCTCTCTTGTTGTGCAAAGCTTTGTTCTCTCTCTCCCTCCCCTTCCCTGTTGTGCTGAGCTTGTCTCTCTCACCTTCCCTTGTGCTGAGCTTTTCTCTTCAGGATACCATTATACCTAGTTCTAACTTTGTTTTCTCGAAGTCTCATGCACATGTTTAAACATTTTTTATTGATATTAACCCTCAAGAAACCAATTGTCTGTCTGATCCTCTAAACTACTTTTGCCATCTGTTAGTGCTTTCCAAAAGTCGACCATTTGATGGACAACTTTTTACTGCTTATCGACACAGACAGGGACAAAAGAAACACCCTAATTCTGTGTTTGTGCAGGGTGGGTCTTGAGAAGCTCAAAAGGAAAAGTGGAGGCATTTTAAAACCTTCACTTATCAAGTGGCGCATCTTTTTTTCTGTTCGCAAAATGATAAAAGAAATAAGTCTTTGTTCTTTGTTGCTTGCTTTTAAAACACTGAGAATTTTCATATTAAAAAAGCAAAACAAATATACGACAAGATAATGTTAGAATGTGGAAGAAAGCTTGAAATGATGTGTAGAAGAGAGATAATGTTGTGGTAAGAAAGAATACAGACATTGAGAGGAGAACGATTAGTGGTGGGAAGGAATGAAAAGAAAAGATTGAAATAGGGAAGACTAATAAAGGTGACCTACAATTAACTAGGTTATTTGTGTACTAACTTGTTGCAATTTTTCAGGAATTACTTTTTTATTTTAATTAAAAAGAAAAATTTTCAACGGCTTGACGAAATAGATTGAAAGTGAAAGTAACTAATTCTATGTAGAAAGAATGCTAGTGGCACTACCACCTTTCTTGGGATGAAATAAATCAAAAAAAAAAAAAAAAAAACACACACACAAAAAAGTATGATCGGTCAACTACTATAATTGTATATTCCACAATGTCAACCAGTTTTTTTCTTCTGAGTCAAAACTTTTGAGTTTTGTTGTCAATATGATTTTAAGAATTTAAATGATTTGTAAATATTTTAAGATCAAATATTAGAATTGTCAAACAATTTCATTTGGTAAGCTTCAAGGAGTTCTGAAAATGCAAAAAATTTAATTTAAGACCAAACATTGGACAAATTCTATCACTGGAAAAAAAACTGGAATCGGAATTTCTTTATAACAGAATATTTGAAAAATGCTGATCGATAACAGGCAAAAAAGAAAAAAAAAATGTGTCCCTCTTCCTGAGAAAAATAAAAACTGTGCTTTTAAGCCCCATATTTAGAATGGATAGATATTGTTTAAGTTTAATGAAACAAGTTGATCAAAACAACTTGTAAAATAACATCTCAAAATCAATCATGATAACAAAAATCTCAGGTTAAGGAATTGTCATTCCAAATAAAATCCGGGAATACAAGAAATGACATTGTTATAAATCCACGAATTTCTGATAATCTAAAAATTGATATCCAATAATCATAACTCACTCATTAAAGGAATAATTTTATATATCGGCATGAAATAATTCTGAATTGAAAAAAATATTTAATTAATGTTATATCAATGGATTTTTTTAGAAAATGTCTTGAAATGAACAAAAAAAATCAAAGAAAGTTTAAGAATGAATGGGTATAAATATATATATATAGAATCAAAATATAAGAAAGGAAGAAATAAAAAAAATTAAAGAAAAAATGAATAAATCTTTTTCAGGTGAGCTTAATTAAAACTTTTTTATTTGATATGACTTCAAAAATTCGATATCTGATTCTAAAATATGGCTCAATCCTGTTTGTTGAACAAGAATTGTAATAATCGTAAACTTTCATGTTTTATTTTTTAGCAAAAGATTTTTGAAGTAAAAAATCTGTCTTTGTTTCATCTCGCAATGTCATAAAATAGTTCCTGTGTGCGAAAAAACAAGTGTGTGTGTGTGTGTGCACAAAAAAAATGTGCGAACGCAATGTTTGTTTGTTAAAATTTCAAATTATTTTTGTTGTGACAGAATCAGCGACATGTTATATTGTCAAGAAGAAATTAAAACAAATTCGTTGATATTGTTTTTAACCACAAATCAAGAAACTGGAATCGTAAATAAATCATCAAAAAAAAAAAAATCAAATAAAATGGAAGAAAAGAAATTAATAAAGTTATTTTGTTTCAATAAAATATTTTGTCTGTTAAAATGTCGAAATAAACAAAGTTGGTCTCAAAAAGTCTTTCTTTTTTTTCTTAAAAAAAATTTATTAATCAACATTTATGGAACAAGAGACTTTCTTTCAAATCTCTTCCCTTTTGTTAATCAGATATTTAACTCCTTACCCGCCAATTATTTTGTGAAAAAAAAGGCTTTCAGATGAATTTTTTTAATTTGTTTTAACATAGTAACTAAACAAACTGAGGTACCTTGAAAGGATTAAGCGGTGGCTGAAATAAAGCAGACATAGATGGCAACTGGACTCATTTATTTTTGACAAAGCATAAAATGAATCAAGATCGACGTATAAACACGTCTGTAGTTTGTTTTTGAACATTATGTTTTGGATTCCGGGGAAAATTAAACGACTTCCTTAAACCAAAATGATGTTTACAAATGAGTTAAGACTTAATTTAATTTTGGAATTTCTTTTAGTCAAAGTAAAAAAAAACTACCTGTCAAAAC